CCTGGGAAACCACGGATACAACATTGAAACTATAAGGATTGCGGAGACTCATCATAGGAAGGTGACTCTCCAGAGGAAAGAAACTGAGGAACATCCATGCACAAGCTGTCCAAGTGGTAAGCCAAACACAAACCATCCAACTCTGTTACCACGGTGCCCAGTCAACATGCCAATTACATTTTCTTCCTCTTTAGGAAAAAACTCTAGCTTTAACTTGCTCTTTCCCATTTTCACTTTAGGCATGCCACTATTGGCTTAGCTCTAGCTGTCCAGGCCAAAAAGCTTCATGGCAGTCTTCAGGTCCTTCCCTCATTAGTATTCCTGATATAGCAACACGTAAGCCATGAGCAGCCATTCCATGGACTCTTCAAAGACTCTTGCCCTGGTATTTTGGCATCCAGGACTTCAACTTTATTCTAAGTTTTAATAAAAAAAAGTTTCTTCTTCCAACCCCAAGGTCTCTTAGTCCATCAGAAAACCTGTCTTCTCCTCAAATGAAAGGTAGAGCCAAATAAAGGAAGTATTGATGAGCTCCCTCGGGGAAGTAGACTGCTGACTAGAAATCATCCAGTAACCCTCTAGGTGGGAAATTAAAACTATGCAAAAATGTTGCAAATCTATAGAGGAAACCTTTACAGTGCTAGGTTTGGAATCCATTGTTTGCATCTATATGACAAGCAAACCTTCACAATCACATGATCTGTGTGGTTTTGCCATATGTGCCTTGAGTTGTAACCATGAAATACAATGCAGGGACTAGATTGCACTGCGGCTTCCATCTTGCTCTTGATACCTGAGAATTAGAAAACAGTGCTGTTTTGAATAGTCAGGGAGGACTCTAATTCAATCATTTCTCTCTATCATGACACACTAGCAGGAAGTTAAGATTTCATTACTTTAAATGATATCACGTTGAATCATGGCAATTTAATCTGATTGTGCACATAAGGCACCTAACGAGGGAGATGCATTTATAATAATATCCTTTATGACACAATGTGGTTTTGCATTGAAAATCGTTTCTGTTAATGTTCATACATCAAACCATGAAGTTCAACGATGATACTGTATTACTGAAAATACAATACAAACGATGTTCTTTCAGTCATATGCCATCGTCCTTCATGCTGAATCAGCTTTAGTTTGTCTATATTTTACACAAGCTCCAGTTAAAAGAACTTTCTAGTGGTGGATATTTACAGAATTTTAGATCTGTAGATAAAATCTTTGTAAACTACATTTTATTTACAAAGTTGACCAATTAATCATCGGAACAAATGACCAAGGAAAGTGGTCCATCTCTGGATATTTTCAAACCCCTTCAATATGAATGATCAGGACCCTATAGTGTGTACCACATGTTTGAAGCTAGACACAAGCTCATGCCTGTGGATCTGTAGGGAGACTCTTTAAGCTGTCTACAATCACACCTTCAATGGAGAGAGAAATGGCTGAAATCCTAGGAACTGTTTAACACAGGAGGTCCAACCAGACAATCTAATCTTCTGATCCTGAGGTGTATGATGTACTATACCATTGTTCAAAGCAAGGAGCAAAGAAACAAAAGTTTATCTTATTGAAACCATAGCAAGAATTTGGGCAAGCACTGTGAAATCACCGGCCTTAAAATCTGGCCAGAATATCAATCTTTCTTTCAAGTCTATCATGAACTCTGATACAATGAATCTCCACTTGAAGAACCTCAACCTGTGGGTCTTAAAACATTCCTTAACTGGGCTAAAATCCTACAGACATCAATGGCATTTTAACCTGAGCAAACACTGATTAAGAGCTACAGAAATGGATTGAATGAATTCTTTCATAGCCAAATCCTAAACGATGCTGGGTACCTGGGGCTCCCAAAGAGAGACATTCCCTGGGTTTCATTCGCACTGAACTGCAAAGTACAACTTGCAATGCCAGGGGGTTGCAAATTCTCTGTATATGGATATTGTTTTACAGGAGAGCAGGGCACGGGGAGGGAACTTCCCTAAAAGATGGTTCTAGTTTGTTAGAAAGGTGAGCATTTACTCACCAGAAACAGCAACACTTCCAGGATTTATTCCATTCATTTCTTTGCTTAAATAGGCAAGCATTTTTCAAAAGGGGAATGCGTATTCTCCTTTGTTCCCAGCTCAGGATCTTCAAACTTCACCTGACACTACTTGGTCTGAAAATCAACTGATAGAATAATAATTGCTCATAGCACCATGGGAGACTTGGTAGATACACCTGCACAACTAAACTCCCTGGTTTAAGCCTCCCTGGTACTATTTTGTGAAGCCAGATTACCCATCCCAACAGAGCTGCTGTAATAGGAGCTCAAATCGCTATAGCGAGAAAACATATGTTAAACACAGCTGTGAAATAACAACAAGCTACAAACATCTCACATTTTTTATAACTTTGCCTTAAACTGGCTATTAATTGAAATTCCTTTTTAATGTTGTCTTTCCTTTAAGGAGCAAAGAAGAGACTTGTGCTGATATTTTTAGGAGCAATTGAGACTAAGCCTATCCTTGAAATTTTACATTACATAGGAAAGATGTTTTGATTTGGACAAGGGCAAATATTAATCTTTAGTACCTTTATGTAAAAGTGCCTATGTCAGCATGGTAAAGCTAGAGAAAGAGAGAAGGTACGGTGTGTACCAAATTGAATATACTTCTTGTTACAGTCGCTCTGAGCAGAGGTTCGGAGTTGAGGCTGAGGAAAGATTTTACCTTTGAATATTTAATACTGATATCAGAAAGGATAGATGGATGGGCAGTGAATGTGGAAAAAAAAATCTGTTTTTATACATTTGCTGCTTGTTTTATATACCTTCTGCTAGTAACCAGCATCTCCCTCACATCTCATGCCATTTTCCCCCAGGATATTCCTAGTGATTAAACATGGACAAACTATTTGCATCAAATGAATTGTTCAACTTACTTTTTTCTGTTTGTCGATTATCCACAGATAGCACATTTGCTTCTCTTTCCAAAGAGTTTCACAACTCAAAACTCTGCAACAGTGCACAATGCCAACATATTTCAGTCAGAGGGGATGCCAGCTAAATCTTTGCTCCAACCACTGTTTCTTTGTGGGGTGTCACGTGAGCAACTAAGTTATGTGGTGGGGGCGACAGCCGAATCATTCCTGTAGGCACCAAAATAGGACTTCCATTTAGGCTCTTAATTAAGTCCCGAAAGCAATGCAGATCAACTCTGCTCCAAGCAGCCACAAACCTACTTCAGCAAACCCGAATCATGCAGTGCCTCCATTGTGTCTTGAAACGTTCCCTAGGCACCCAGAGCTAAGGCTCCTGGGCACTCTCACAAGCAAACCAGATCACCCACCTACTCAAGTAGCTCCAACTAACTCCAAGTTATGAACCAGGCTGGAGCTAGAAGGGTCCTAAATTCCACCTACATCCCTGGTCTATTGGGCACCCACAGAGCCACGTTCCACCTGAGAATACAGCTGGTGACACCTACCCGTTGCACAATAACTTAGTGCATGGGTGCCCACCCACCAGCTTGCGGGCCAGATCTAGCCCCCAGCACCAATTTATCTGGCCTGCGGGGCTACCCACAGGTAAACGGGCTGTGGCCCTGCATCCTAGTTTGAGAGTACAGGGCAGCACAGGGCCTGATCCTGGTGCATGGGGCTGGATGGTGGCATGTGGAGCCAGGTGGAAGTGGCATGGGGCCAAAGGGCCCCGATCCCAGCATGTGGGACTGGGCAGAAGCAGTGCAAGGTCCCAGAGTCACTTCAGCCTGTGGAGACTCAAACCTACATCTCAGATCTCCAGGGAAGTTTCCAAGTTATAGATTTATATCCCTACTCTCCTGTTGAAGCTAGACCACAGGGGAGCCATGAGCACAGAATTCATGGGGTCAGAGGACACACTCTTGGGAGCACTGGGCTCTGTCCCCTGCTGCCAGGCCTGCTTATGTATTTTAAATTTGGCAATCCTTGGTTAAAACAGATATAAACCTGGCTGTCGGGACAAGAACACAGGTTTTCTGAACTCCAAGAAAACATCCCCATCACTGGGCTGTAGAGGCCTGTTCCACATTTCTTGTTCTCTCCCTGGTCACATAATCTCTCACTTCCAAAGTGAGTTCTGCAGCCACTAGAGTACTGTGCAAAAGGAGGGCACCACTACTACCTACCAAGTTTTGGACTGAAAGCAGTCATAGGGTGCTGTGCTGTGCTGCGCTTTGCATGGAATTAATACACCTGGTGCAAACTAGGCTCCTCTCCTCTGGCCATTCTTAACCCAAAGTGTTGGAGGTTCCTCATAGGCAGCCCAGAATCATTATCCTAAATCCTGGAGAAGGCCAGTAATTCAGACATGCTCCTGATGCCTAAACATTCATTACCTATTTTCTAGATCTGGCTATCCCTATTCACTGTATAGGGATCTTACATGCCTAATCCTGATGATCTGGATCACTCTTCCGAAGCAAGATACCTTTCTCTTTTTTTTTTTTTTTTGGTGTCACCATGCACAAGTGGAGGCATCTTCAAGAACAATTTGGATTGGTCTCATGAATGTTGTTGCTGCTCCTTGGCTTGATAACAAAAACTTTTATAAACAGGAAGAGGAAAATTAAAGTGATTCCAAGATAACCACATAAATGCCTCTCAGGAAAATTCATGAGACAAACTTTCCATGAAGAAGAGAGTCACTCATGTGAATGTTCACAAAAAGCAAATCAAAAGTGTTCTAAATATGGCCTACGCAAACTTACATTTTTAATTCAAATGACCTTTTACTGGGTTGTTGTTTTTTTTTATCCTCTAAAAGTTTACACAGCTCTGATAGAGATATTCCATTTAGGATGAAAAAAGCGCATAGTGCATAATACATAGGAATAGAGAGAAAAACAAACATTAAAATAAAGTCATCATCATATATTAATTTCTTTACAAAAGAAAAAGTTGAGAAGAAAATGATTGTCTGTCAACAGATTTTCATTCACCATATACATCTGCCTGTGTACTTCCTGCTAGGTTTCATCAACTGCTGTAGACATTCTATTTGTAGATATTGTATTCAACCTACAAGAAGAAAAAATGTGGTCATGTTGCATGAAATAACCGGTCTTATAAATAATTAGAGTCCAGAACATAGAGCGTAATATGTCTAGGTCACTTTATTCACCACACATACATAAATCCTGAAACTCTCACATGGGGCTTATACCTGCCATGTTTCATGTATTCAAGGAGAGGGAGATATTCTAACCTTCCTTTTATTTGGAAGTCTAGCCCAGAGGCTGAGCACAGTTTGAGTCATTATGTTCACCAAGCCTCTCCCAATGACCTATACAGGTACCTGTATACCTGCACCTATATATACCTCTCTATATATCTATACCTCCCTATACCTATATATGCTTCTCTATATAGAGTGAACTGAAGATAAATCCAAATTTATATTGATACTGAAAGACACCAGTGAGTTACCGCACCCACCAATAGCTCCCCGTGATCAGGCAGGTGGTTCCTACATCCCAATTAAAATGTAAAAGGAGTTGTAGACTTCATGAAGTCCTCTAAAGTTAGATATCATGCGTAGATTGGCTGGCAACTGGGAATCTGATGGAAGGGGACAATATATAATGGATGGTAAGCTTTGCTTCGCTACCCACTGATGATTTTTGATATTACAGTGAACAGATTTCCTGCATGAAGCATTCAGAAAGTCTTACTTTTCCCCATTTCTGTATACTATATTGATACCACAGACACTACTGTACACAGGGCAATAGACTATTTTGCTACTATTGTGCTGTATGAGACCCCTGTCTTCAGTAGGCCTTAATGGCTAACTACACTGCAAACGAAATTTCCTGACATGTGAGATCTCCAAGGATATAAAAGTTTCCCAAGGGAAGTTGTAGAAGTCTGTAATAGTTAAACCTGGAAAACTCACTTGAAAATGTGCAGTAAAAGGGACTTTTATCTCTCTAGCTTATATAATTATGTGAAGAATTCATTTTGTGTTTCCATACCAGATGATGCAGTTGGAATTATGAACTACTAGCACTTAGATCCTGCAGACTCCTTGGTTCCCTTGGCTATCCTAAAAAAAAATGCTACACTCGACATAGCAAAGATTCCCAGTCAGGGAGTGACTGATTCCAGCACCCCGACAATAGTCGGTGCCTGTGGCTGGTATCCAGCTCATCCCACCCTAGTTACAGCACTGCCAATATTTTAGCATCCCATGAAGCAAAAACATCAAATTCTGTCCTGATTTAGACCCTTTTCAACCTAGTTTCACCGTGAAGCTGCTATTGAAACAAAGAGCCTTCTTAAGATTTTTTTTTTTTTAATTAAGACATTTGTATAGAATAACACTTGTGCTTGCAGCTGGTTTCTTCAATGTGCCAGGCATGCTGCCCCCACAGACTCCACTAGGAACTCGGGGTGTTTAGTAGGGCTATGCAAAACGGGCCCTATTCAATTTGGATTCAGATTCGGCCTAAATCGGGGACAGTGATTTGATCCATTGATTCAGATCACTGTCCCTGATTCGATTGGACTGAATCCGAATCTGAAGATTCGATGCTGATTTAGTGAATTAGCAATTTGGACACAGGCAAAGCTTTGAAAGTTTTTTCTACATACCTTGAGGTAGCAGCATGGCTTTTGATCAGTGCGGTGATGGGGCAGATGGAACATCCCACAGGAGCACGGAGCAGGGGGGCTCTCCATCGTGCTCGGCAGTGAACCTGGAAGTGGACCAAAAGTAGTTCCAGTCCACTTCCAGGTCTGCCGAGGAGTATGCTGCCCCCCCCCTTCTGTGCCCACCTGATTCAGCAACTAGCTTTAGAAGGACCCTGGGTGCCTCCCCACCAGATCTAGGAGGCACCAGTCACTGAGCCGGGGGGCCCATGGGGGACCCCCTTGCGCGCTCCCCAGTGGACCAGGAATTGGACTGGAAGTGCTTCCGGTCCACTTCTGGGTCTGCTGCCGAGCACACTGGGGAGCCCCCCCGTGCTCCTGTGGGATGCTGCATCTGTCCCAGCATTGCAGTGTTCACGAGCCACCTGGTATCTTGAAGTATGTAGAAAAAACATTTAAAGCTGTGTCTATATCTGAATCACCAAATCTGTCCAAATCTCCAAATTGATTTGGAGGATTTGGATTCAGAGATTCGGCCACCGAATTAGGCCAAATCTCCACCGAATCGAATCAGGGACCGAAGCTTCGCACAGCCTTAGTGTTTAGCACCTTTTATGGTTATGCCTTTAGTTGGGATAAAAAGACTGTGGGCCTTATCTAACGCCCAATGAAGTCAATAGGCATCTTTCAATAATTTAAATGGGTTTTGGAATAGGACCTGTAATAGATAACTGTCTTAGTGCGCTTCAGGTGATGACCACCAGGGACACTCAAGAAGAAACCATGCTTCAACACATGCTACAGATGTTGGGCAATTAAACTGGTTAGTTGTGGAAGGAGTTGAACTTTCCTAAATATCATCCACCACTAACCACTATCAACAACAAGAAACCAAGCCAGATGAATAATTTGACCATCCCAATACAGCAACTCATCCGCTCTGTAAAGATTCTGAGATAAAGACATGAGTGTTCAGGAATCAAAAAGCTTATGGCCTGCCCCACTTCCAAAATTTACCTGGTATTCTGCGAGGTGCTCTTCTTCTGCAGGGCCTTCGAGCCACGTGCCCGACAACAGGCAGATTTACAATTAATGACCTGGTAAATAATTGGGTTGTACATAGCTGCTGATTTTGCAAACAAGGTTGGTACCACCGAAAGCGGAATGGGCACGGAGTCTGGGTGCCCAAAAGCTGACCACACAGATACCACCGCGTATGGAATCCAGGCAATTAGAAATCCTGCACAGATCAACACTGCCACCTGGCGAGACAAAAATAAACCAGAAGGAAAGCAAAAAGTTACCTAACAGAATTCTCTTTATGGACTAATTCTCTAGCACAGCACTCCTTTACCACAGATGCAGTCAACCTGACGTAGCACACGACACAATGGAAAGAAATAAATCCCAGCTGGAGACAAGTTCTGCAAGGTGAACCGATCCTGTCATTCATTGTCCTTTTCCTTATCTATCTGCAGCTGTATGTTCACTTGCTACTTATAGAAAACTTTGTGATTCTCTTGGCACAAATCTTTCCCTGAGGCTATTCAGCCAGCCTAGAGGTGAATACGCTAACCAAAATAACCAGTGAAATTTGAAATTTAATTTAAATGAATATTTGAACGTGTTCATATAAATTATACACACACACATATGTATACACATATATATGTGTGTGTGTGTATGTGTGTATATGTATATACATATATACACATATATAATAAGCACAAGTCAGCTCCAGCTCTGCTTCCTGGTGTAGGTCTATTAGAGAGCCTTAATGAAGGAGGAGCATGCACACATGCTGCAGCCTTGTGCATGGGACAGTTTTACTGGGCCGCTACCACAGTGGCAGCACCTGCATCATGGCACCCCAGGTGAGAACCACTGGCTTAGGCTGTATCTACTTCTTCCCCGGACTTTTTTGAAGTATGTTCCATTTCTATAGCTTCGTCCATCCAAATGCTTTCCAGCTCCCCTGAGAAGTGAGTGCTATTAACTCTGTGTCTAAAATGGGAAATCAGGACCCAAAAAATGAAGACCACTTATCCAAACACAGGTTTCTAGAGTCTGAAGTCAAGAGAAACTAGCTAGTGCTCTGACTCTCTCAAAGCTACTTATTAAAAGGCTTCAAGAAGTGTCCATACCTGAGCACTCAAAGTTGACCTGCTCAAGGACACAGAGATCAGCTTTGGAGGAACTGTGAGCACAAATGTGATTCCCAAACACATGCATAAAGCCCAAAGCTATTCTTTTCACTGTTTAAGCGAATGTCTTTGAAAGGACTTTTAGCAAAATTTCCAGCCTTGGGTTGAAGTCATTGCTGTCAATGTTTCAGAAAGAAAATTTGGCATCCAGATGGGAGTGCATGTGTGTCAGGGTTTTCCCTGTCTGATCCCCTGTCAGTCTTCCCCAATCTCCACTGTCAGGTCCTACAGAAAGGACAAGGGGAACTAAGGAATGAGAAAAGGAAAATAGACTGCTACATTTAGGTTCAACACAGGGCTGCTTCTTGTCTTGCAGGTAGTGCTGATGATGCATGAGGAAATCACCAGCAACCTGGGAGCGGCTGGCAATATGTTATGATGAAAGATGGTTATAAAAGGAGGGGAGAGGGAAAGTCAGAGTTCTGCTAAGTCAACCTCATCTCCTGCCTGGGCCCAGGGTGGGAACAAAACATAGGAGACTGTTAAGGAAGCTAAAAAATAATAATTCTGCCAACTTTCCAAGGTAAAAATGCAGATCATTTGATAACTTTGGAGGATAAACAGAATTAAAAATGCAAATTTTGTGAGCGACATGCAAAGATTCAAGTTGACAGCCTTATGGGAATACCATAGCTATAGTCACAGTTGCTGCATTTCTCTAGTTCAGTGTAAAATGAACTGATGGGAGTTTAATTGCAAGCAATAACTCTTCAACCGAATATTTAAACTGAGCCATAGTAGGAATCTCATTCTCTGCTACATAATGCAGATACTGTGAACAATTTCTATAGACTCTTACCGGGTGAATTGCTATTGTAAAGGACTTTCCTATGACAGCTCTGTGTGTGTATGTGTGTGTGTGTGTGTGTGTGTAGATATATTCTGTTTAAACACTAAAAGAATGTTGTAGTTTTGCTAAAGTTTTTAGACACTTATTTTGAGTAAGCCAGTTTGCCCAGATCTATTTAAACATGATATATCTCCTCTATGGCATTATATAACAGTGTTGCGCGTGTTTTACAGCACTGCTCTAATTCATAGGCAAATGCACTGCATCCTAAAAGATATTAGTACAAGAAAACTCATTTGGAAAGAGGTGATTACAGCACAAATCTTCCAGAAATGCTTGCCTCTCAAACCATTTAAACCCTTTCAGATAATGTAATATGCCCAATCTCTGCTTTGATCTATCGATATCCATTTTCTTGAAGCAAAAAATTGCTTCAAGATTTTAAGCCTTCCCTTTCTTCTGTCACCCACCAGCATTTCAATCAAAACATAGATCAACCAAAAGGGAACTTTATATCCATCCTCCTTTGAAATTCTGGGGCTGAATGGAGGGATTTGGGATGATGTAGTTGGCACTGGTCCTGCTTTGAGCAGGGGGTTGGACTAGATGTGACCTCCTGAGGTCCCTTCCAACCCTCATTTTCCATTATTCAGTGATTTGACTCTACAAATCTAAACCCCAGGAAGTCAGGCTCCATACAAGACCCAGAACTGGGGCTGTGCTCTTCTTGACCTGTTGCTCACAAACCAGGAATAATTGGTGGGGGATGCAGAAGTAGATGGCAACTTGGGCAGCAGCGCCATGAGATGACTGAATTCAGGATCCCGAGGAAGGGAAGGATGGAGAGCAGCAGAGTAAGGACCCTGGACTTTAGAAAAGTAGACTTCAACTCACTCAGGGAACTCATGGGCAGGATCTCTGGGAGGCTAGTCTGAGGGGGAGAGGAGTCCAGGGGAGCTGGTTATATTTTAAAGAAACCTTACTGAGGTGCAGGAACAAACCATCCTGATGTGCAGGAAGATTAGCGAGTATGGCAGAAGACCAGATTGGCTTAGCAAGGAACTCTTCAGTGAGCTAGAACAGAAAAAGGAAGCTTACTAGAAGTGGAAACCTGGACAAATGACTAGGGAGGAGTATAAGAATATTGGTTGGGCATACAGGGATGAAGTCAGGAAGGCCAAAGCATGGTTGGAGTTGCAACTAGCAAGGGATATGCAGGAGGGTTTCTACAAGAAGGGTTTCTACAGTATGTCAGCAACAAGAGGAAGATCAGGGAAAGTGTGGATCCCTTACTAAATGGGGGAGGCAACCTAGTGATAGATGATGCAGAAAAGCGTGAAGTACTCAATGCTGTTTTTCCCCTCAGTCTTCACAGGCAAGGTCAGCTCCCAGACTGTGCACCTGGCAGCACAGTTTGGAGATGAGATGAGCAGCCAACAGTGAGAAAGAACAGGTTAGGGACTATTCAGAAAAGGTGGATGTGTACAAGTCCATGGGGCCGGATGCCACGCACCCAAGGGTGTTGAGGGAGTTGGCTAATGTGATTGCAGAACCACTGGCCATTATCTTTGAAAACTTGTGTTGACCAGGAGAGGTCCCAGATGATTGGAAAAGGGCAAATATAGTTCCCTTCTTTAGGAAATGGAAGGAGGAGGACGCAGAGAACTAGAGACCCATCAGCCTCACCTCAGTCCCTGGAAAAATCATAGAGCAGATCCTCAAGGAATCCATTTCTAAGCACTTGGAGAAGAAAGTGATCAGGAACAGTCAGCATGGATTCACCAAGGCCAAGTCATGCCTGACCAACCTGATAGCCTTCCACGATGACATGACTGTCTCTGTGGATGTGGAGACAGCAGTGGACATGACATACTTAACTTTAGCAGGACTTTTGATACTGTCTCCCACAACATTTTCACAAGCAAGCTAAGGATGTACAGGTTGGATGTATGGACTGTAAGGTGGATAGAAAACTGGCTGGATCATTGGGCTTAAAGGGTAGTGATCAATGACTCAATGTCTAGTTGGCAGCCAGTATCAAGTGGAGTGCCCCAAGGGTCAGTCTTGGGGTGTGTTTTGTTCAATATCTTCATCAATAATCTGGAAGATGGGATGGATTGCACCCTCAGCAAGTCTGCAGATGACACCCAGCTGGGGGGAGTAGTTACATACACTGGAGGGTAGGGCTAGGATTCAGAGAGACCTCAACAAATTGGAGGATTGGACCAAAAGAAATCTCATGAGGTTCAATAAGGACAAGTGTGAAGTCCTGCACTGAGGACAGAACAATCCCATGCACCGGTACAGGCTGGGACTGACTGGCTAAGGAGCAGCTCTGCAGAAAAGGACCTGGGAGTTTCAGTGGACAATACGCTGAATATGAGCCAGCAGTGTGCCCTTGTTGCCCAGACAGTTCACAGTATACTGGGCTGCACTGGTAGATGTGCTGCCAGCAGATCAGGGGAAATGATTCTTCCCCTCTATTCAGCACTGATGAGGCCACACCTGGAGTACTGTGTCCAGTTTTGAGAAAACAACACAAAACTAAGGCAGGGTACCCACAATTTATAACAATTGGCATTGCATCAGGATGCATCAAGGCTGGGGCAAAATTTCCATACACATTGTGACTAAAAAAAGAAACACCTACAATCAAAGTAATGTCTTGTTCTTGCATGAATGACTGGTGCCTCCCAGGACTGGTGGGGGCACCATGGCAGAGAGTGGTGAACGTAAACTGCCAGCGTTGATGGTGGCAGCAGTGAGTGGTGAGCAGGTACCGCCCACAGGCGCCGCCATCCATGTCGACGGCGAGGGTGGGGGCAGTTGGTGACCACCCACAGAAGCCAGCAGCAGCTATGTCAGTGGCCAGTCTTGGGGGGGCAAGTGCCCCCCTGTACCCTCCCTATGCATCACCTATATGTTCTTGTATCTCTCTGGAGAGAGGAATACAAATTGTCCAAAAGCTTTATATAACTAATAACAAAAAACTGCTTCTCATTTATATATTTTAGGGCTTTCTTCACCAAACATCTTGGGCACCTAACTTACAACTTGTGTGGCATAGGGAAGTATTATCATCCCCTTATCCAGACAGGGAAACTGAGGCACAAAGATGAAGTGAACCATCCAAAGCCACAACAGAAGCCTACGGCAGAGCTTCACATTGGATCCTGATATCAATGGTCACACTTGGGTGCCTTACACACAAAACTACACTTTATTTGTCTCAAGTTTGCCCTCCTACCTTGTAGGTACAAGGAGAGGAAAGGTCAACATGCGCACTTTTAGATCATCAGTGTGCATTGGTGACATGACCGAGTAGAAAAACATATTCAGTGCTCTGTAGGGGACTCTTCCACCCAGACATTAGGGTTGGACAAATCAGGATAAGAAATATCTATGACTCACCTTGGTTAGTTTCATTTCCAGTTGGTGACTGTTTTGTATCCTAGTGTCAAAATGAGCTACTTCTTTGGAGGAAGACTTAACTTTTAAAATGATCTTAACATAGGAGAACACAATCACTGCTGTTGGGAACACAAGGCAGAAGAAAAGAATATTCAGAATAAAAGCCTGCCCCGCCACTGAAGACTGCGCCAGCCACCAATCCAGCGTGCACGATGTCCCAAAGGGCTCGGGAGCATAGTTTCCCACTCCAGTTAATGGCATGGTGGCCCAGAAAGAAGCGTAGGCCCAGATTGCCACCAGACACATAAAGGCATGATGCCTCTTCAGCCAGGTACCTGAAAGACAATTCAGCCTTTACAACGGTGGATTTGAAAACCCACATATATGGCAAAATCCCATTTAGCCTTATTCTACATGTACAAATAAGAGCTGATCAAATGACTTGACACTTACTACTTCTGCAAATTGCCCTTGAATTGTGGGATTCAGAAGTGTATTCATTAGTTCTCTTCATTGAATAAGAAATATTTTCCCACCCAATAGCGTAACTAGGGCTGGGTGAATAGGGTACCAGCCTTGGGGTGCCAGAATAGCAGCTTCCCAAGGTGTCTTTACTGCTCTGGGCAGTGGTAGCTGGGTGCACAGACACCGCAGTAGCAGCAGCCAGGTACAGGCAGCCAGCAGCCAGTGCCTTTGACTCCCAGAGTAGTAAGATTGACCACTTGCTCTCCCCCTTCCCACCCCCCACTCTCGGGCTCTCAGGAAACCCTGCCTCCAAGGGGGTTTTACGCAGGACATACAGCCTTTTAGCTATGTCTTTGTACCCACCAAAGGTACAAACCTTTGATCAATCACTATATGGCATTTGATATCTGAGTTATGGATAGGCACCAAAATCAGATATGTAGTTTCTGTTCTTTTATTAGCTAGTCTAAAGTTTGGTCTCCGGGTATTCCTCCTCATAAATCACCATAATATTGTCTCTTTCAGGGAGAAGATTAGAGAGATGGAACAGGCCCAAGAATTTTTAGACCTCTAACTTCTGGGTTTTTTTCTTCCTCCTTCCAAGAAAAAGCATTTTACTTAGCTTTGTACATGAAACCCAGATGTAAAAATAGATTTTGATGGGTGTCTACATTAGAGTGATGTCATGTGACTCTATAAAGTGGCTCTAGTTGGCTGAGCAACGTATGAACATAAAATAAGATACGTTTCCTAGCCTGGAGGACATCTTAGAATCTCAATAAGGATAGTTATTTCCTAACACAAAGAGAAAATCAAATGTAGTGGCTGTCTTCTTGACTTCATACAGGTTTTTTCCTAACACAGTCACAACAGGCAACCATAGTGCTCATGAATATGGAGAGCTGCAGTTGTATGGTTTTTCTGGTTTTCACAGTGGCCTGAGTGCCAGGTTCTTGCCAAAGGGCAGAGGGGCGTTGTACTATGTATCCCACCATGCCATATGCTAAATAACGCACCATTTCAGGCATCTCCCAAAACGGTGTCAAGTGAACTCCACTTGCAAGCCACAGTAACTGATTATATGAAATTGTTCAGTAATATATTTGAAGCACATATCTGTGCCCATATGGTTTTGTCAAATACAATTAATTATGTTGTTAATTACTTTAACTATTAAAGGTAATGCAAGGACTGGAGTTTTGGGGAATACTGTCCCATTGCTCACTCTATATGCTCATCATATATTTTAGAAAACCATATATTATATAATCATATTATAAAATTACTGTATATAATCCTGTGAAATAGGGCAGGCAGCAAGGGGTCAAGTAATGGGGGCTACTTGACCCCTCTACCATCTGCCCCTACACTGCCTCCCCCCTGCCTCACCTACCACCTGTCCCCCTGTCACTGCCTTCCCCCACTGCAGCAGTCAGGGGCAGTGACAAATCGAAGATGACCTCCAATAATTAAATTCTATACATGGAAAAATTTAACAAACATGTACATTTTCCATGTATAGAATCCAATTATTTGGGGGTCATCTTAAATAGAGGGTCATCTTGGATAAATGCAGTATGGTAATCTGGGTAAATACAGTATCTGTTTATCAGAAACTGTTTAGGAAAGAGTCACAGGAATAATACGAGGCTGAAAAGCTCTTCTTTACAGTGATGCACTGAAAGAGCAGAATCTACTCAATGTATCCAAGGGAATTTAAGAGGTGACTTGCCCTCAGCCTACAAGAACTTTCTTAGGGAAAAGCTTTCAGATAGTAACATGCTCTCTCATCAAGGAAACACAGGTATAGAAAGATTCAACAGCCAAAAGCTGAAACTAGATATCCCGCTTAGAAATCAGGTAAAAGTTTTTAATAAGTCAATAAACATTTGGGGAAACTTACTTAGAGATGTCATGATTTCTTTATGTGAAGTCTTTAAATCAAGGCTTGGATATCTTTCTAAGACATGCATTCTAGCTCAATTTAGGGATTAGATACAGAAAACCACTTGGTGAAACTTCTATGCCCTGTATTATTTCATAGATTTCATAGACATTGGGGCTGGAAGGGACCTCGGAAGATCATCGTGTCCAGGACCCTGCCCCAGGGCAGGAAGTCAGCTGGGGTCACAGGATCCCAGCAAGATATGTGGGAGGTTAGGTGAGATGAACATAATATTTAATTTTGACTTTAAATTCTATTACTCTCTCATTGCTATGGATAACGTAAGTTATTAAAAATGGAGAGAATCATAAAATCTAAATGTACTAATTTAGTCATTGCCATTTATGTTATTTCTTTCCTTCACTTCAGTTTATTTCACTCTACCTGGGCAATAAAAATCAATGCCTAGTCTTTTTCACCTTGGAGCTCCCAGGCTCTAACACAATGGGACATCATTAATGACATTGACATGAGATGTTGTAAAATTAAACTACCATTTCTGCCAAAACTACCATTCAGGGATTTCCCTGCTAATCAGGCGAGTAGGGAATAAAGAATGATTCACATACATTCAGTCATAAAATTCCTAAACATTCCCCCCAGGGAAGAAATTTGTTCAGTGAAAATGCCCTGGTAGCTTACCATAAGACAAGTGACAGATTTTCAGGTATCTATCCAGACTGACAGTCATCATGGTGATAAGGCTCCCACAGCCAAAGAAGAAACCAACCCATCCATACCAGCGGCAGCCAATCCAGCCAAAAATCCAGCGGTGAGAGAAGAAGGAAATGATAGAGAAGGGCTTTCCTGAAACTTCAAGGAGGGGAATAAATGTGTCATTTTGTTTGTCCAAAAACCCTTTCAGCACAGACAAGCCCTACTTTTACCTGTAGTGATCTCTGGGTTCAATAAATACAGACATGCAATCAATGAAAAGAACAATACACTTTAAGTTGTGAAGCAGCACACAACTTCTGGATACCTCTAACTAACTCACTGGCTCTCCCTAACTGAGGGACAAACTCCCAATTCCCATCTCTTCTTAATTAGGGAATGTCTCTAAATTATAACTTTTATCAGTACATTATCCACCCAGGAAATCAATGAGAAGATTGGTGTCTTCAAATGCAGGGTAAAATGGCCTAGTGCCTCAAAACCCGAGTAGCTCAAAACCTTTCATGGCCCAAATATAGGATGCTAACTGTGAAAAAGGGTTACATTACGAAGGAAAGATAGTCTAACCTAAGGATCCAAGGGAAGCGGAGGATTTTTCATCTCTTAATGTGTTCAGATCAAAATCAGCTGCTTTTCTGGAAAGTACGTTCTAGTTCAGTGGTGCTCAGTCTCTAGCCCGTGGGCCAAACCCAGTCTGCAGAGCCCTGTCATCCCACCCATAGGGTTCTCCATGGGTCCAGATATCTGGTGTCGAGGAGCAATGGCAATTAACACGGCTCTCTCCCACACTGCCAAGTTTCAAAGCTCTGCAGGCCAGACAACATGGCCCTGCATGTGGGGACAGGGCTGCAGGCCTGATCTGGCATGGGGCCCAATCCAGCATACAGGGTTGGGGCCCATGTCAGACCGACCTTGTGCACCAAAGTGGGCTCCAGCCATACTTGCCCACAGATCAGATCCAGCTTTGCAAGCTGAATCCAGGCCATGGACCAACATGTGCCACTGATCCAAGCTGTAGGGCCAAATGGTTGGGCCCCACTGTGCTAGTTCAATACAAGTTTAAGGGCTTAATGCAATTTAAGGGCCTATATTATGAAGGAGATCAAACTGAATGATCCAACAGTTCCTTTGGGGCTGAACCTCTCTAAATCTTATGAAAAATAAGTTCCAACATATCTTGGGAGTAGAAGCATTACAACTTCAGAGTTACAGCACTGTAGAGAATCCTAATATTTCAAGATATGCTTTAGTCTGAAATGGTATAAAATTGTAACATTTTTCATAAAACAGAAATTCAAAAAAATTTTTGATTTGAAAATGAAGTGAAATGTTTCAATATTTTTCGTGAAAAATGTCTCACGATTTATTGAATTTATCTGTTCAACTTCCATTCAAACCAATTGAATATGATACTACAGTATTAAACTCTCATTAAGTTACCCTGCTTATAATGTAACAGTGCCTTGAAGAACCTGTAATTGAATAGCCTAATATCACTATACACTAGGCTGTTTGGCTAAAAGACTAGGGAAATAGGGACACGTACAAGAAGCAAGGATTTTTTGTGATATCTTGCCTGGGACCAACTGTATAGTTGGAGAGCTTCTGGAAAAGCTTTCAGGCGTCAAGTGCTCTTCGTTAGGCCTAAGAAAGAGGTTAAGCTGAGTGCAGTAAGACTCTATGTAACTGCAGACAGTCTGCTTGTAAGGATAGAGTAGGGCTGTAGACTAGAAATGAAGAGGTGTTATCAGAAGCTCTTGTAAAAAGAAAAAAGAAATGTAGTAAAATAGGTACTCTAGTTTGTGGCAAAGGGAGATGTAGTTAGTGGTAGAAAAAATGTTAGTGATAAGGGAATATAGTTTATCATTTTGTTGAATTTATTCAAAATAAAACACTGACAGTCAGAAAAAATTTAAAAAATTAAATGTGGGTCAAAATGACTAGGAAGAGAACATTCTGGTTTTCATTTTCTTGACAGAAGATATATAATTGCTAACTCAGCATTTTGCCATGGAACATTTGAGTTTAACATAAATTATATTTTCTATTCCCAGAATCACAGGGATGGAAAATTCCTGGTTGGCAATACATAAAAATATTTTAAAGGCACACAACTTTGGGTTTTATTAACCATAAAAAATTATTTTCTAGCTCCTAAGATCCATTTGGTTCATATTTTTTAAGCTTTCCTTCAAAAACTCATGGGGAGCATCCACATGAGTGTGGACATTTGGCTTCCTGGGGACAAGTAGCAGTGGCGCACCTTGAGCTGCCGCTTCTTGTCCCCAGACAATGCCCATGCCACACGTACTTTGGCACATGGCAGGTTGCCCCAGGTGGTGTAGAGGAGGCTGAGGCCAGCACTGTGCTGGCCGCAGCAGCTTTACCTGGTGTCCTGGGGGGCCTCATGGTGATCCTGCCAGGCGAAGCCGGGCTGGCAGCCACAGCACAGCTCCAAGTGGCCCAGCTCCCCTTTTTAGCAGCGCATGCTGCCTGAGCATGCACTGCTCTGGTTTGTTTTTTTTTTCCCCCTGGATATCCAGGGGTCAAAAAAAACCACGGGGGAAAAGAAACCGAGCAGTGCATGATTGGGCAGCATGCCTTTGCAGTGCGGATAACTCCAGACTGTAACATGTTTGCACTGCCACATACTGCGTGACTGGGCTTATCTGGACACACCCCTGAAGGCTAGAAAGGTACTTTTTTTTCTTTCAATGGCAATTCAAATTCTATTATCCCATCAGTTGGGGCTTTAAGAATAAATGTCAAATATAATGAGGGGCTCACCTAAAAATAAAAAAGTTGGCAATCACTCTGATATACACAGTTTTCAATAATAAAAGGCAACAGACATCACCTCTGTGCTTGGAGCACTCCTTTTAACCAAGCTATGTTTGTACAGGAGTTAAATGAACAATTTGACTGTAACTCAACCTTGGGTTTGATTTTAGAGAAATACCTATTGCCACTCCCTGGACAACTCCATGGAAATACTGAGTACCTAGGGTCAGCGTGCCAACTGTAAATTTAGTGACTGTCAGTAAAAATTTTTTAAAATCAGGCTAAAAAGGACTGCCAGTAAATTCCATAAAAGAAAAAGTTAACTGTCAGTACAAACACTATGCAGCTGCAGCTTGATTGAAGCTCCAACAGACAGAGCACAGCAGTGCTACCTGGTGTCAGTGGGAGTGCAGCACCCTGCAGGGAGTGTTCGCTCAGCCATGAGCTGCTGCTGCTGCTGCATCCAGGCTGCCTGTAATACTGTTGAGTCACAGGTAGGCTTCTTTGCGAGTCCATGCTGAGACACTGGGAGTGGGGCTGATGGGGGCAAGCCGGGGGGTTGGCTGAGGATGCAGCATAGTGCAGAGTAAAGTCAGAGACATCAGGGTGTGGGGGTGAGCAGGGGACCCCTGTGATGGCATGGGAGGGCAGCACTGTGCAAAAACTTCAGTGCAGTCAAGCAGGATTTCCAACCCCCCAAAAATGTCCTGCTAACTTTTTACTGACAACCAATTTTTTTTCTATGATTGATACTAGGAAGGTAGTAAAACACTGGAACAGGTTACCCAGAGAGGTGGCAGAAGCCCCATCCTTGGAGGTTTTTAAGACCCAGCTAAACAAAAGCTTGGCTGGGATGATTTAGTTGGGGCTGGTCCTGCTTTGATCAGCGGGTTGGACTAGATGACTTCCTGAGGTCCCTTTCAACCCGAATTTTCTATGATTCTATGATGTTATGTAAATTTGAATCCAGCCCTTGTAACTGGGGCCTGGCAGCAGGACAGGGCTGGCTGAAGAGTTACATTTACATTATTAAAACATAAATCAGTAAAAACCTGCATTAGTAAAAACATTTGGCTGACAACAAAAGGCTTGCATATTGAGAGGGAAAAAAAAATGTCTTGGGTTGGCAAGCCCGCCTAGGATTAGCACAGAACCTGCAGCAGTTTAGACCACTGATATTTTTTAGCTAAGGTGGCAAGAAATATGTGCACCAAAAAACAAGTTTGCAATGAGTGCTGGTATCCCTTCGAACCTAAACTGGAATCAATACATTCCCACAGAATGTGTCATTGTTCGGCATTAGCATTTCCTGAAAGGAAAATGTTTCCGTGGGAAAATATTCAGTTTTAAATATTAGGGAGGGGTTAAAAAGCAGTGTGTGTCCATTAAAATCAACTGATGCATAAAAGATTAACTAACTTGTTTGAAAATTATATGGTATGTCAGTTTAAGAACTGGGAACAGAAACTGGAAGTCCTGATTCTAAATCCTTGTTTTAATCACAGTCCTCGTGCAGCTTGCACGATCAAGGAACAATTCCTTATACTCCAGTAGATGGCATCAAGATGAAAGTAGGTTTGCAGAAATGATCCAAGTCACAAGTGGGATCCTAATTAGAGACAAGAAACAAGCCTGGTCTAAAATTTATTTGATGTATTTCTGAGTGCTAGAGATGGAAAATAACGCCTGATAAATTATTCAATGTGCAATATTGCTATGCAATATTGTTATTATTGTTGTTGTTATTATTATTATTATGCTGGGACTCTACTTGCTACCGACACAAGCAAATAAATGCCCCAGTTGTGATTTAGTTGTGTAGCCACAGGCTGATCACTCAGCCACAAGATAGCAAATTCTCAATCCCAATCATGACATTTCTCAGAAAATGCAATGAAAATGACTGCTCTCTCTATGGTGCATTAATTATGTTATTTAATAACAATGCAAGGTAACGGTATCGTTGCTTCCTTTAAGCTCTTTTACAAACCACACCAATGACACCTTGTGGTCAGTTGGGCGAATGTCAAGAGCATATTCCTATTGGATTTTCTTATAGCTAAGCCGAGTTGTTGTAACTGTGATGGTGGTAACTCCAAGGCAGTGGTTTTCAACCTTTTTCATTGACAGACCCCTAAAAATATTTGAATAGAGGTGAGAACCCCTTTGAATTGTAAGTGTGGGTGTTCACATACTTTTGATTGATCATGGTCATCTTTCATGGGCCCCTTAGACATCGTCTGCAGACCCCCAGGGGCCCATGGACCACAAGCTGAAAACCACTGCTCCAAGACCTTCTCTTGGAAAAGAGTGCCCATTTGCCATTGCCTGTAGGAGTCTCAGCAGCTTAAAGAGATTTATGAAGGTTTATTGGATTACAAAACAAAGAGTCACCAAGAGCAATCCACATCCCCAGTTTTACATGCATTCAGATGGCAACTTGGGCATGCTGATCTTTCGATTACTTGCTATTTGTCTTATTCTTTGCAGCCTGCCATAGGCAGAGCACTCTTTTCTATGGGAAGGAAAATAGAAGGCGTCCCATTGAAAGTGGGGACCTAGACAGAAAATTATAACACTGGAGAGCGTGAACTCTTGACATTGCCCTCCCCTATTTCTATTGGATGTGTTCAGTATGTATTTATGAGGCATTTAGATCTGTGCCGTGCCATTTGTAGAGCTAAAATATAATTTTCCTCAGCTGTGATAAAAGCAGCTTTGTGCCAATTCCACCAAACATTACAAAATGAGCTTTTTTTAATACTGGTCTGATCCAGAGTTAAACTCAACAGGAGTTTTGCCAGAGGCAGGATTGCTGGATCAGGTCCTATTTCTCTCTGTACTTTTGGTTGCTTTCCAAGAAGAAAGTTACTCCCCCTTGAAATTGCTCTTTAATCCTTTTTCCTCTCCTTCTGGTTTATGTGGAAAAAATGGAGCAGAAACACAAAGGGCTGGATTCTGCCAGCCTGCCCAAGGTTCCCATGAGAGAGGAGCCCCATCTACAGATTCAAGAGTAGAAGCTAGCTTTATATATCAGGACCAAAAAAATTGCAGATATAGTGAACAATAAAAAAGCACTGAATTACCTGAAATGCCAAAGTCGCACACAGCTAGATTCACAGTCATTATCTCAGCAGGTTTCAGCTTCTTTTTGTGTCTTGCAGATATAAAAATAACATATCCGTTTCCCAATGTTGAGAGTACACCTATAATAAACACACAGAAAGGTTTAAGGTGGCACAAACTTCTCAGACTCAAATTCATGAAATCTCTTAGCATAGGGATTCTATGCTATAGACAAAAATGAAGAGATCTAGGTTTTTGATAAGGGGGGTACAGGTACATCATCACATATAACACAGCATACATTTTCCTCCAGGTAAAAATAAACCGGAAGCTTTACTATCACATTGACTTGATTCCAAGATAAGGTTCTCCCCCTCCAAAAAATGGGGATCTTAACTACACAATTTTGTGGCAACTGCTTTTGCACTTTCCCCCTAGTTTTAAAATGGGGGGAAGCAGAGAGCAAAGATCTATTTTATTCCCCAGATTTTTTTCCCCTGCTCTAGCAGTGGAAGGAGGACAAATTCAAGGTGAACCTCCAATAATTAGATTGTATACCTGGAAAATCATAACAAATGTATACATTTTCTATATAGAGAATCTAATTACTAGGGGGTTGTCTTATAATCAGGGTCATCTTTTATTTGAGTAAATATAGTAATATGCTAGGGCCATATTTAGTTTAAGATCAAAGCAAACACAAATATAACTTTACTGGAATGTGCATTAATTTGCTAACACCTAAATTATGTATGAAAACATGGCAAGCTAGGTAAAAGGTAATCAGAAGATCTTGTTTCTTTAGTCTGATTATCATTATAATTAAAGGCACATCTCTTTCAGATTCATTAAACAAAAGCAAGTCTTCTTGAGAGTCCTGACCTTGACAGTGAATCCAATGCTTCACTGAAAGTTATTTCCATACCTGAATTGATGTTCACCTGATTGAATGTTTCCAAACCTGAGCTGATGTTTTTAGCTCTAATTAAAAATAACGCACAGGGCTGTGAAATAAGAGCCGCATTAAGAGGAACAGCTAATAACAGAGCTACTGAAGAAAGAATTGCTTGATTAGTGGAACATCAAGACCATTAAAAATGCAGAGGTGGACATTAACACCTGTGGAATAAGAAGTTGAGAAGGAATTGAGTAGATTGCAATGAACCATGAAGTCAAGCAACTCCCTTACTGCTGCCTGAATAGAAGTGCTACTTCTACTGCTGATCAGTTGGTTTTAAACTGGGTGGATCAGGAATCAAAGTGGGGTGCAACTGCACCACTGCACCTCATCTGGATCCATCCCTGTAGGTAACCCAACCAGTTATGGTGAGGAAAAATGGGGCAGGCACTTAACAGACATCAGTGACTCCCTGGGAACTGTCTGTGTGCACCTTCTTACCCCATGGCGAATGGAAAGGAAACCATTGTCAAGTGAAAAAAGGCTAAGCTGCCCCTTTTATCATCAGCAGTTACTATAGAGCAGACGATACATGGTAAATCCCAACCCCTTTTTACCTTGTGGCAACCAGTTTGTGTGCCCTGGCCCTGAAGTCCACAACCTCGGGGAGATGTCAACAAGCTAGAGGGCACTCAGAGAAGAGTAACAAAAATGAGTACAGCCAGGACTGGAAGCTTATGAAATTATAAGTCTTCAGCCTCCAGAACCGTGTCGATCAAGAAGAGAGAACAGGGTGTGATAATACAGCAAGAATGATAGGGCTGAATCAGGAAAAGAAGAATTCAAGAATAGTACAAGAAAATTTCTTGTGGTGTAGTACTACCCGACGGAGCAGGGAAGTGTTGCACCGCTGACATCTGAACAGAGCACGGCACTGCAGAATATAGTATACTCCAGCAACTCCCTCGTGGGATCTGCTGTGATAGAGGGAATTAACTCACTGGCAATGGCAGGCAACAGTCTAACTCTACTGTCTCCCGGGAGATGCTACAAGAAAAGAAAACTTGGATCTATGGCCAAGGCATTATATAGTGTAGTTATAAAACAGTTAACACGCACAATCCTGATGACGGCTGCATGACTACCACTCCTGCATGTACTCTGCCAACCAGTTGGCAAATGGGGGCATAAATTGTATATAAAGGATAAAATGATTAGCTAAGAGTGTAGGCACAAAATGACATAACCAGGAGTGGCTTGGCTTGCAGTTTCTCCAAAAAAACCCACTGTATTTTGCACCCCAAAGAGGGGCAGAAGTTGCATCACGGTAATAGAAAAAAGCAACAAACAGGAGGCTGTAGTATAAATCATCTCTGTTTTGCAATCTGAAATAACTTCATTTGTGTCCTCTATGAGAGTCCTTCCCTACCCGAAGTTTCAAACCCAGAAGGGAATAAATCCACATTGACTTAAAAAGCAGTTTAAATTAGAAATCATTTTTGGCTTGTAAACAAATCTGCTTCAGCAGCAGCATTTCCCACTAAGGAACTGCTCCACTTTCAGCCCTCATTCGTCTTTTTCTACAGAAGATTTAGTTTGTGCTGTTTTATCCCTAGGTATTAGTTTCACATTTTTAGGCAAACATAAATAGGCATTTCTAATGATAGTACAAAAAATAATCATAGAATCATAAAAAATGAGGGTTGGAAGGGACCTCGAGAGGTCATCTAGTCCAACCCCCTGCTCGAAGCAGAACCAGCCCCAACCAGATCATCACAGCCAAGGGGCCCAAAACCAGACACAGCACTTGAGATGTGGTCTCATCAGTGCTGAAGGGAGGGGAATAATCATTTCCCTCGATCTGCTGGCAATGCTCCTAGTAATGCAGCACAATACGCCATTAGCCTTCTTTGCAACAAGGGCACATTAATGGTTCATAGAAATATGAAACAAGAAGCTGGATTCTAGTCCTTTGAAAAGTAATAGGACTTTTGGCATTACTTCAACTATAGTATGAACAAGAAATCTTAGTTAGATCAGGTTAATTCATTTTACATTGAGTCGGGCAGCTGGAAGAAGGGTTATGATCATTATGGTCAAAGTTAAGGTGACTAGAACCAGACCTGCAACTTTATTGAAAGAATTTAGTGCCTTTTAAAGCATAAATACAACAATTCAGAATAATGCTATCAGCTGCAAGAATTATAGTACCTCTGTCCCCTTTCTGAGTTTTGCATGGACCCTCCTCAGGTCTTTGGTGTCCTAGGGTGCCCTTATCTATCTCAGTGTACAATCCTGAGAGCTCTCTCCTCTTAGATCAGGGCCAAGGCTCCAGTGCCTTTTTTCATAAACTGGTTTACCCTACACATTTGACTGAGTTCAGGCACTTACCGCTCCCTTCAGAAGCATTTGACCAGTGTCATGGTTTGGCCAAAGAGCCTTGCACAAAAATACCATTCAACTAGAACTAGGGATAAAGATTTAGATAAGGAAAGATTTTTAAACAAATAGTCTGCATGCACATCTACCTGACCTGGAGTCATAGCATCCTATGATAGAGTCATCGGCAAGCCTAGCTTCTCCAGCTATCCTCAATAGGCTCTGCTGGTTCCCCTTTAGCGCTCTTTCCCACTGAGAGTGCACCCCAGGTCTCTGTCCTCCTGTGTTTTCCAGGCCTTAGTCTCTTCTTAATAAATCAGCCTTATAGGGGAGTCAAATATTGAAATAAAGGCCAAACCCAGATCATTCTCACAAGCACCTAATTTGGGCCTGAAAAGATCCCTAGACACCTAGTTTGGAGTCTGGCCTATGCTGAGATCAAGCACCTAGGCTCTGCCTAAGTTCCATTATGATTCACATCGGGGATGAGGGTGTCTAGCAAGGCCTGTACCAAGGCTTTCAACTGAGCAGGAACTCAGAAAACCTGGGGGTGGGAAAGCTTGGGGAGACAGCCAGGACAAGTGTGAACTTCCAGAGAGGGGGAAATTATTTGTTTGTTAAGGGGCTGTATGTGAGGCCCTGGACTAAGAATGTGAGATGCTGCTCCAAGATGTTACAAGCCTTGATTCTCTACATAAAATGTGCCTAAAGATGCACAGGGCCAATGAGTAGGATTTTTTAAGAGCTCAGAAGCAAATGAAGTATTAAAACTGTGCGGTGGTCAAATGCTATGTTAATAAGACGATATAATTCCTCCAATGGGTAGAGAGGACACATTGCTATTATGGAAGTATTCAGAGAGCCAATGAGGACTGCGGCTTCTTTGTTCCAGGCACTGCTCTGGAGTTCACAGTTGTCATAAGACAACTTTAAAGATGGGAATTTCTTCCCCAGCCTTGCCCCTGCCCCCAATCCCCACTCCCACCCATCATCCTGGCATACTGAAATCTCTCCCTTCTCACCAAATCCATCCCTATACTCAGGGGAATCATCTACGTTTGGAAATGACCCAGAATAGAGCCTGCATTAACTAATCGTGGGACAGGGACTGCCACATTTATACTGGTTTTAACTGATTGCAGCTAGCCAGCCCCCGGCTAGATGTCACCCACTGACAGGGTTTTAAACACAGCAGTGCTACTTCCCTGGCCTGTTTCACACTGTGTTAGTTATGGCATGCTCCCAACAATTTTCTAGTGCAGAAAATGCCAGAGACAAGAGGCATTGAGCAATCCTTTTAAACAGGAGATGTCTCTTCACCAAGAGGTATCGGAGGGAGACAGAGCCATCATACGGTTCACAGAGAGTGCCATAATCAGGCATCTGGTGAGTGAAAAGCAAGAAGGAAAATGAATTCTTCATTGGTGTCGGAGGAAATCATTTGTTATCCTGAGTCACAGCACCGGAGTTTTTCAGTAAATCGCCATGCCGCTGCCATGGACAAGGCCGAGAGGGCCCATCCCTCCTCTGCCTTTGGGAATCATTCCCTGTGGATCTTTGCCAGGCCCCAAACAGCTTTGAAAACCGAAACAGCTTTCCATAAATCCCTGAATGTGATTTACACTCCTGCAAGGAATAAGGACAATCTTTTTTCACTAATAGGATTACACACACCTGGAATGGCTCCATGGGTTTCCAGAGGTAGGTTTATCACAGGGACAGAATGACATTGCCTCCTACAAGGATTTTGCCCCATTCAAACAAAGAGAAGCCTTTATAGCACTGAAAATAATCCAGATCATCACCATAACTCTGACTCCTGCCTCTGCTGGATGGTAGAAATGCAGAAATCAACACTGGAGA